GCAGGGTGGCGAGAGGAGCTCCCGGCTCCCGACCCGCTGCCAGCGCCTCTCGGCGCCGCATCTGTGCACAAGCTGCCCGGCGCCCGGGCATCTGGGCAGGCGAGCTGCCCGCGAGCCCTTTCACGTCTGTGTCCTGCATCCAGCGTGCTCTGAGCTTCATCTTCTTCGCAGCGTTCACGCTGTTGGTTTTTCGTTCTCATGAAGCCCAGCTACACAGCTTTGAAGTCCCTTGGGGCTTTTGAGGCGCTCACTGTAAGGAAAATGCCTACGCAATCCTACCTCAAATCTCCGGCCAGTCTGAGGACCCTCAATCACGCATTTTTATCAAAGGCCCCCAAACTGCAGTTTCTTTCTGCTGTCAACTGCACTGCTTGTCCCACGGCCCGTGCAACGCACACCAAGCTGCGAGTCCGCAGCCCAAGGGCTTCCAGCACCTGTACCAGAGAGGCTGGGCAGCCCAAACAGCAATTAGCTCTTATCGCTAAGCAGTTCCCATCCCTCAGCCAAGCCCATCAGTTCCTCTCCGCACAGTCTGCAGGGGCTCCCCCAAAGCGATTTCCTTTTCCCTGCAGCAGATGAGCTCTTCTCTGTATTAGCACGTCCCGGCAAACTGCTGCCAGTCATTGTACCTTTATTCTTGCATTGGGGGCTCCAGCTCCCCGCAGACCCTGGCGTCCCAGGGCTCCACTCCCATCCTGCGCCACCGGGCTGCTCGTTACCTGCATAGTGCTGCACTAATTCCTTCCTTTCCCATTTTATCCTCCAGGCTGTCCCAGAGAGAGCTCAGACTCCACCTCGGTGTTCGCACGGTTTTAACGCTGGTAACGTGTCCTTCTCTGGTGAACAGGGCTGGGCATTTTGTTTTGTAATGTCAGATTTCTGCTCTAGAAGGGTCTGCTCCCTGAGGAGGCGTGCTCACTTGCCATGGGAACACCAGCATGGCTGAGCAGACGGAAAGTTTGTGGGTGATTTTTGGATACTCCGGTGACTGACCTCTGCAGGGGTTTTGCACTCTCTTCAGGACACTGCTGCAACTCCTCGGAGAGAACGCTCTAGATTTCACCCTTTGGTTCTGTAGGGAGCACCATGACAGAATAGTTATGTCTCAGGCATAAACTAAACATCACTTATCATTGTTATCTCCCAGGCAAATTAGCCAGTGGCTAATACAAACAGCGCCAAGCCGTCCAGCTGCCGACGGAGGCTGCGGAGCCACGTGAACAGAGCACAGGGCCGGCTTGCTCCACGCTGCAGCAGGAGAGGGGACCTGGCTGGTGGACCCAGGCAGGCGGCTCCAGGCACAGCAGTGTCCCCCCACCTGGCAACATCCATGGCCCTACACCCCACACAAACCAAGAGAGGGGGCCAGGCAGCCTGCACAGCATCCTGGGGGCTCAGTCCCCACAGGCACCAGGAGCCAAGGGCAGCCTGCATCTCCCAGGAGCAGGTCCCCATCAGCACCAATTGCAGGCACCAGAGGCTCATTATCAACGGGAGGAACCGTTACTTTAGATGAACGAGCATCACCTGAGTCAATCACACCCCAAGTGATTCGCCAAACCAGGCAAACTCCAGCTGAAATGCAATTCATCTCTTAGCCTTATCGCCTTGTGCTGTTTGAACCTGATTTACTGTTATTGGCAGTCAGCAACCTTTGCCATTTATATTCAATGCCAAGCTTCAATTTACAGTATACTTTCTGCTTCAACTCACCCTGGCCTCTATCTCCACCTTACACATTAATGCAGTATATGCATGGAATTCATCTTGGAATTTATTTAAAGAATGTCAGCCACGCTGGCTTTAATACATTCCTTCATCAAAGCAGCACAAAGCTCAATTTAAATGAAAACTAGCAAATTACAGACTGTTATCTAAGCCAGTACGCAGTTTAGTTCTTTCAAACTGGAGATCTCACAAGCTGGCACAGAGGGAGATCGGCATCACTTTACGGATCCAGGATGGTCCCAGTCACATTTTGGGGGAATCCATGTGAAAGGAACAAGGAGATTAACTGTGAGCTTGCAGCCGAATGTAATTCGTCTGGTTACAGAGGATAGTCGGCGACGATGTGCGAGAGGCCTGTTTGCACGTCCCTCGCCGAGCGGGGCTGTCCCTCCGCTCCAGGCATTGATGGAGCCTGACAGCAGCAGGCGGTTGGCCCGACGGCTCCACACCCGTCTCTGCAGGGAGATGCTGCACATGCCGTTCTTCACATCTGCCCGGGATGAAGATAACACGGTCCCTGCCTTGACCAAGCCGGCTGCGAGATGCCCTGCTCCCAGACTGGAACGTAAAACTTCAGCAGAGCACAGATTACTTGGCAGCTGCCGCTGCACCTTTGCAATATATATGGGATAAGAAATGACAGACGGGAATGGAGCTGCGGGGCCCAACGAAGATTCAGGCAAAGGCGAGAAGGATGACAGCCTTCCCCACTCCCCCAGCTGCCCAGCGACAGCGCACGCACACTGCTGCTTCTCAGGTCTGCAGAGAGCGAAGAGAAAGACACACGCTGCTTGTAAGAGCTACTGAAATATTAAACTTCGAGGGAAAGCGTTTCTCAAAAGGGCACACGCTGCACGAATGACTAGAGATCATGCTCTGTAATAGCATTTAGCCTAGACTAAGGGCAAAGATTAGCAGCTGAGCACACAGGAGAAAACAATAACTGTTAATTAGTACGAAAGCAAGAGAGCTCTGTTGCTCCCCTTTGTTGCCTGCTGCTGTGTTTGGGGTAGGGGAGGGTAAAGGGAGAGGGGTCTCGTGGTGCCAGGATTTTCCTTAGCACCTCTGGTGTGCTTTGGATTGGTGGTTTTGCTGCCTTGTGCTCTGGGTAGTTGGAGCGTGCTGGGCTGGGGAGGTGAGGTGGGCCGGGGGGTGTCTGCTTTACCGGCGCGCAGGGAAGAGC